ACACACACACAGAAACATTCATATACCCGGACAAGTGGGTGATTGTTTTCTGGATTCAACATGGAATTTTTCAATTTAACATTTTATCCCTGCTGGGAATCGACACCTTATTCCTCCCACATTCCACAGGGGAACGGAAACCACTGTGTGTGTGTGTGTGTGTATGTGTGTGCATGGTGATGTATGAAGCTATCAACAGCAGCATCCATCTGGTAATGATTCCACTGGAAAACAAAGGTCATTATTCATTCATTGATACATTACATTTTCCAGATATGTGCATTAGATCCTGCAGGAAACATGTGCAACACACCAGAGAACAGCTGCAAAACAAAAAAGTGCATCTATATTTTCCCTACATTTAACTTCTGTCATGTCTGAGCTTTACAAGGCAAATAGTTACAAAATCAGATGTCAGTAGACAAACGGATAATCAGTTTTTTTCTTAAAGTTGCTTCTGCACTGTGCAATTTCACACATCAGTTGCTCCAAATTGCAGTGAAAGGTTAAGTGTTTAAATTTAGAGGATGCTAATGCCAAGGAATTATACAACAACAAGACACCAGTACGCGTAACACAACACATTTATGTTTATCTACTTTGGCTTATGATTGCTATAAAGGTATAGTTCAGGTTTTTTTTAAGTGGGATTGTATGATGTACTTGTACTTGAGTAGATGTACAGTAGATGGTCTCAACTTCATTCAAGGGATAGTTTGACATTTCGGGAAATATGCTTATTCAAGAGTCAGATGAGAAGATCAATACCACTCATATCTGTCCGGTGAATATGAAGCTACAACCAATATATGGTTAGCTTAGCATAACCATGAAAGCAGGGGGGAAACGGTAACCCTGGCTTACCAAGAACAAAGAACTAGTACGTCACATAACCTCGAAAATGAACTGAACTATGTCATTTTTATACTTGTTTTTTTGTACATATTAAACAAATCAGATATAACTGGGGCTAGTAGACAGATTTTGTTATCTTGGGACAGAGTCGGGCTCACTGTTTCCCCCTGTTTCCAGTCTTTATGCTAAAGTAAGCTAATCATCTCCTGGCTCTAGCTTCACATTAAACATACAGACATGATAGTGGTATTGATCCTGAAACTTTTTCTCTAAAGGGTAGGTTTACCCTGTTCATTTTTTTTATTAAATATTTTCATGCTGAGACCACCCTAGAAAACTCATGTCTGCATGGATGTATACTGCTAGAAGTAGGGGAAATTTGTTGTGAGCTGACCCTTTAGACACAGCACAACTTACTTTTTTGACAAGTAGACAGTTTTGCTTTCAAGTACAGTAACATGATAGCTTCCATTATATTACCCTTTTTTGGTTGCTTGTAATAGATTTTCCAGTTGAAATTCCTCACTTCCTGTATGTAGGAAAGACTTTCTGCTGATATCCTTACCAACACTAAAGTGATTCAGGCCGATGTGTATTCATGAGTAAAATGATTGTATAAATATAATGAATTTCTTCAGGAAATGAGGGGTTATTTTAAGAACACAGGGTCATTGGAAGAGATGTCTTGGACTGTCTTCCTCTTCATTCGCTCCCTATTTATCATATAAGCCGATCCTTCATTTACTTATTCCCTCTCTATTCCTCCCTCCTTTCTTCTCTGTCTTGCGCTTCTCTTTTTCCTGGCAGTGCGGAGAGTGGTGTTACCATCTGTCTGTGATGTGTCCTGGACGCAACTGTGCGTGCGTGTGTGTGTGTGTGTGTGTTCAAGGCAGGATGGCCAGGCTGAGCTGGGAACGGGGCTCAGATGGAGATAGAAGTAGAGTTCAAGACAGAGGAAGAACAAAAATCAACAATTAAATGAAGAGATAAAGTCGGAAAGGCAAAAGAGACACATAGAGTGATGGGTGTGTTTATGTTGCAACAGTATGAGCCACAGCTGTGTGATCTACTAACCCTTTCAAAGACCTTGACTCAGTGCTAGAAGACAACCAGCTGAAAGAGAAGACACACAATGACACACAGCTGTTTTCAGAGGAACGCTGTGCGTGCACATGCGCATATTATCTATGTATATCAGAGATGAATATCAGTGATATTTCTTTTACTTATTTAAATTAAAAGCAAATCCCTGATGCATGGTTTGTGTGTGTGTGTGCTAATAGCACCTTATATCCATTAGTCAGTAGCTCTTGCGAAGTGGTTTCACTCACCAGCATTGAATTGAAACACCTACGTCATTCAGTAATCTACCTCTGGCAATGAATCTGTGTGTGTGTGTGTG